AATATAATTCTAATAATCATTTAATTAACAAAAAATTTATTTATTTTATTCAAAAGTCTGAATTTAAAAATAGATTTGTGAAACAACAAAGAATGTTATTATTTTCTTTATATTCTTTTCTAAAAATGAAGATGTTTCGTTGTTCTTATTGAATTTTCAAAGATTTAAATAAAACAAAATTAACATATAATATATAAAGTGTTATTCGTATTACACAAACACACACACACAAACATACACTATAAAACATATACTATATACAAGGTGTCCCGCAAAACTCCCGCATTTGGAGTACATTACGTGATTTTTTATGCTAAAAGAAGCAACTTTTTTCTTTAGCAAAATTGCGACGAATAGTTTTTGTGGATCAGATTAAAAACAACAAATGAGTTCGTTAACCCTGAGGGCAAACTTCCTTCGGTATAAACTTTCCCTCGATGTCAAACCTTGTATATCAACGATTATATCCATGATGTAGAATATGCTTTTTTCCGAAGCGGCGTAGTTCATGTGTCGAGTAAAACTGAAGCTGTTTTCCGTTGTAGTTCGAGTAAATATAAAGAGTGACCATAGTGGGGGGTGAGGTTTCCCACCATTGTCTTTATCCGTTAAAATCTACAATGACTTGACGCGAAGAGTCGATTTCCATCACGTTTTCGAACTCTGCGTAAAGGATACAATTAATCGTTGTTGTAATCGCCTTTTCGAATCGTACCTCCAATCGTAAACTTCCATATCTGACAAGATTCCAATGTTCTGCGCAATTTGCCGATAGATCGGAAGTGAGATCGAAAGCGAAAAGCGTGAATCCATCGGCATAATCTTCTCTGCTTATGGAATTCCCCTCGTTTAGAAAATGAATGCCGATTCCCGAGAAGAGGGTGTTATAAGCCTCGATGTAGAGCGGTTCATCTTTTGAAAAATTTGGTTGCAGCGGTCTGCTCGGAATTTGCATGCCATCGGCATATAACAATAAGAAATTTATGCCGAAATTTTTGAAATTAAATGGATTTAGCTTTCTATCGCCGTTAAACGCTTTGTTATCAACGAATCCGACTATTATGCGTTTTGGAAGCTGGCCGAGTATCGCGTTATTAATCGATTCTCCTACCACTCCTGCGTGAATCGTGAACGTTTTAACTTCGACTCGTGTCAGAGGATACTTGGCGGTTGTTTTACTCAACATTCTCGCATGATCGAGTAACACTCCGGGGCTTATTTTTGCTCTTCTTATGAGCAAACTAGCATCTAGAATATGTATTTTCGACGTTGAGTTGGCTTCCATGAGACAAAACGCATCTCTCGAGCGAACGAATCTCATTCTAACCTCTACCCCATTAATTAAAAATTTATCCTGATTAAAGACGTCACAATGAAAATGGCCTATTAGATCCAGCGAACGACTTTCTTGGACGTATCGGGCGCGTCTTACGAGAGCTTGATTTGGGGTTCCCGATTCTAATAGCGCGTCCATATGACCGGGCTCGTCTCCCAGAGAGAAGAAGTCAGATGGGAAGTTTTTGCAGGTGAAGAATAATTTAACAATGTTTCGATGTACGCGCGGTACGCGTAGGCGTTGTTCGGGAATGATACGAGTTTTTGATTGAAGTATACATCGATCTGGTTGAACATCGAATGTAGTAGATGATTTACAGGGCCTATTTTGTTTCCTCCTGCCGCTGTTCCACAGGGCCGGGTAAACTTTCCACTCGTATGCGAAGGCTTAGCATGGTATGCGTGAGATCTAAATAATCTTCTCCGTGTCCGGATACGACGAATTCTATAGGTGCGTCGTCCGCGAGCGAAGTTACCGGTTTGTAATAAATCCATTGTGGACTCTCGATATTCATTTGAGTAGGTGATAAACTGAAAAGATCGTGCTCACTCTTTAAACATTCGCTCGAGTGAGTATGGAGAAAAAACATATTTCTCAAACTTATGATTCAC